TAGGTGTATAACGCATTTTAATTGAGTTATGATTTTTAATTTGATGAATAAAAAACAAACCCATTGATCAGTCTTTTAGACGAATACAATTTGTTTCTTAGAAATATTTTCCCCGAAAAACACCTATTGATAATAGTAGCAATGATGTGTAGCCGATAAATACCCTAAGTAAGATAGGAATTGTGTATGTGTACCTATACATCCTTCCTACATATAATACATATTAATATAATATAATATGGTATCTACCCGGGCTTCTAACCATTCGAAATTTGAGTAAATATTTTTTTCAATTTGTTAGGCAATAATAATTAATTATTTGTTGATCAGATTCATAAATCAAACATTACATAATATAATATGTACTTAGTATTTTGTTTTCAAGTGTTTTTAGTGTAATATAAAATAATAGATTCGTGTTTTCATTCATTTGCTTACAAGCTACTTGACTATTAACTTTCATACAGTTCAAAGTACATCGCGCATAAGTAATCATATGATCATAAATTATAATATAATGAAAGCCACATAATCAATGTCACTATACTTTATCATAATTATTATGATTGTAAATGATTAAAATACTAAAAGATTTAAAAACACCTAATATTGTTCAATATGGATATATTTTTATATTAATTTATGACACATATGTCCTTGCAGATATTAGAATTGAAAAATACTAAATTTTTCCAAAATTTTAATTAGCTGGTGCTTACCCATCGATACTTGTAAATAATAGTAGGTTATATATTTTTAATAATTTATTATCGTTTATATACTAGCTCTAAATCGAGCACACAATGTTTCCGAAGTTCAATGTGTACGAAGATCGTACCTTATATTATATAATAACATAATAATATTACTATATTAGATTACGAGCGATATTGTAGTGTGAAACCGTATTTCCTTGTACCTATGATCGGAGATATAAAAACACGAGCACTCTGAATCGCCAAAAAAATTAATTCAACTTAAATTTCGACTTTCATTTTCTAACATTTCGGAAATACAACAACGATTGCAAAGGCGTCGTGCTGGGTCGTTGGTGGACGGATTCTGGCCGTAAGCTAGTAACACCTTCATAATACACATAAGCAAGAGACTATAATATTATTTTATATATCAACACACACACACACACACACACACACACACACACACACACACACACACACACCGCAATACAGATCTCAGGGAGTGTGTGCCGTCAATGGTCTGTATACAAACTGTCGCGTCCGGCAATTAATATATTTATATAATATGTGTGCTGTGTATACATCATACAGGGTGTGCCTCGCCTCGAACTCTCTAGCTATATGTTATATATTGTTATACACTTAACACTCAGGATCAGTTCTTTACGTGCGAATTCTGTCAAAACTTTAAAACTAAGGTTCTCGTAGTCTTGCTGTAGTGTACGAATATTTTTAACGAAGTAAACAGTTTCATTTCCAAGTCATTCACATTAATTATAACAATTAGCTTTGTGTACCTCGTATTTTCGAAGACAATGCCGGAAGTTGTATGAGTTGTATGACAATCGATGGGTAACTGTTATAATCATCCGAAATATAAATATATCCCTGAAAACATCGAACATGATAAAAGTTATAACTTTCGATACGCCGACCTAACTCATCTGAACGCGCAGCGTGCATCCAAAATTGACAAAGGGCTACATAGGTACCCTGTATGTATACAGTAGGTAATATAAATTACGGTATCGTCGGCCACACAACCACGCATTGATACGTATATATATATAGAAGAAACGCATATATATATATATATATACATATATCTGCATATCCTCGTGTCGGACACAAAGCAGAGCCCTTGGATCTTCTCCAATGTGTACCGCGCGTATGTGACTGACCAGACTGAGTGAGCCCAATGAACTGTTCGATACTATACGGGACGGGGGCCGGGGGGCATGATATGCGACGGGTATTTAATGCACCCGGAACAACAGAAAATTCAAAAAAAAATTAATAAATAACCCTTTTGTGCGCGTACGTGAACGTAGCCCACAGTTCGTTTTTTTACGCCGCAGGTCGGTGTACGCCTATATACGTATATAACGCGACTCGTCGCACGGTATTGAATTCATCGCGATTTTCCGTTTCGTCTTCCGCCGTAATCGAATAACTAACGGAGCTCTGAAATTTCATCCTGTGCATTGTATATAATATATATTATCTTTTCTGCTCTGTTTTGCTGTATTTACATAATATTGTTATAATACCGAGTGTCGCGGGGCTTCGCGGCTCGGGCATGTACGAAAATATGTACAGATGATGCACTCGGATTTCGTCAAACTTTGCAGTACAGTTTTACTCAAATAAGTCAAATGAATATATACATACATTTCATTGTCAATGCTCGATTAGGGGGGGGGGGAGTCCCCTTTGTTTTTCCTTTTTTTATTGAGTGTAACCCTTCTATTTGTTTTGAACGGAACGCTGGGAACTCAACATTTACCATAGTGAATTAGAAAATCGGCAGTTTTTCTGATGCATAACATAATAACCATAATGTTTGTACCTTGTTCTCACGAAAAAAAAATTTATTACCATTTAAGGTATTAAAATTCCTGATAACTTAAAATACTGCAGTTAAATACAACAAAATCGTTGGAACAATTCATTGCAGCTGTGGACTGCAGTAGGTACTGCTTCTGACATAGAATGAAGAAACTTACCAGTTATTGGTAATTAATAAATAAGTGTTTTTAAATTTTCTTTTTTATACATAATCGTAGAACAAATTTAATATTGTTTTGATGTGATAGTTACTGGACGGTCTGGACGGGGGTGCGGGTGTTTCGCCATCGCTGTAATGTGACGGTTAATTTTGAGTCGAACACTCTTTCTTCCAACATCCGTCTTATAATTTTTTTCCAAATCAAGCTTAGTCAATTGTGTACAATATGATATTGTGTGCGCGCAAACTGCGAGAAACGACCAATAATATTCCGATCGGAGCACAGAGTTATGAAACTCGAACGCTTCACACGAGCGAAATGAAGGTTATACCGCGGTCAAGACGTCAGCCGAAACATGATGCGAAAATCACACCGAGACACATACTATGTGTAACCTCAGACTGCCTACTACCGAGCGAATCGACGGTCGAGACTAGCAGGTCTCAAGCGAATCTATTGACGCCTCAGTGTAACGTCCCTTTTGGGTAATATTTAGGTTGGGTTGGGGTTACGTGTACGTCGCATGATTTCATAACCTAACCCAACGAGCGACACCGTAGCCAAGTCGCTTCATGTGCGTCATATTCATAACATTACGTAAAAAAAATGTCTAGTAATGGTTTTAGTTTCCCTGGTACACCTATTATACCACTACGACTCGGTACGGGCGTGACGTATCTTTCGAAACCGGAGATTTTTCCGCAAACAATCGTATTCGAAGACGTGTAACGACATCAGCGCATACATATTATGTCATTTTTGTAACGAAACGACGCGGCGACAAATACGACGAGTAGTCGGCGATGCCGCCGGTGTGACTGGACCCGGTGCAAACGGCGACTGTGACGCGACCGCCATACGCGACGGTATGTTCCTACCTGCCCGATCACATAATAATAATAATAATAATAATAATAATAATAATAATATACGAGACGTACACCACACTAGACACACGCACGCACTATCGTCACACGCAAAAAGAGCGGTCTCGCCGTCACACGCGTACGTACTACGTGTACACAATAGCCAACGCGCAACCATCGCACACGGGCACAATAACGGGAAACGATTTTTTTCTCTTCTTTTCGTTATTTTTTTCCCGCGCCACTCGAGGTTCCCCCAATTTCGTCGACTCTGCCTACCCGCGATATATTAATAATAATAATAATAATAATAATAATAATAATGCGAGAGGGTCCCCGCGAAGGCGACGCACAACATCACACTGCGTAATAATATAATATAATATTTTATTAAACGCGTACAATGCAATTATTATATTATTTATCCCAGAGAGTCGTCGTCGTCGTCGTCGTCGTCGTCGCCAGAATCGTCCGCCGTGACCGATCCCGAAAACTTAACGGAAAACGTAATAGGTAGTTGTTTTTTTTTTCTGTAGTAACGACAGTAAAATTATTATAATGTGCAGTAATATAATTTTACATTTCACGAACAGTCGAAACGAAAACGATCGAGCGGACCACAACAGTACGAACGACAGAAATTAATAACAACGATAATATAATATTAATAGTAGTATGCAATTAACGGCCGCAGCTGATAACGCGATGAGCGGCACTTCGCGTTACATTAATTTATTTATTATGTGTGCTGCGGCGGCGGCGGCGGCGGCGGATATTAAAGACAAAAGAGCCGAGAAAAATCGCCGACACGACGCCGCCAATAAATAATGCGGCCAAGTATTGCGGCGGTGGGTCTTTTTTTCGAGTCCTGGGTCATTGTTATCCGCGGCGGTTTGGACACTTACCGGACGGGTAATAAGTAATAAACTAATAACGCAGAATAAATAATACTCAATAGATGTTGCGGGTATCGTGTGCATATTTTATGAGTATTAATTATTGACTATGCCATTATACAGATTGTGCCGCCGAGTTAAGAGATATCAACGGACTTGTACCGTTAATCGCTCGGTTAATCGTCATTGTATGGTTTTTTTTATTTAAAGTGAGCCACTCACAACTATCCTAGGTAACCTGCAAGCAGTGACGAACACGACGCTTTCGGTTTAAATAATAGGTGTACTGCAGTTAAGTGTAAAATACTTAGTAGCAATAATACGATCGGTCGACAAAGCCCCGTTGAATAGTAATTATATTATGTAGAAACTGTCGTCGCGCGAACGTGTGCGAAATTACAAAGGAAAAAACTAAAATTTCGTTCCGGCCTTCCGGGAGAAAGTATTTTTTTTTTGTGTTATATAAATGACATTATACACGGCGATAATGGATGATAAGCTGAGAAATTGTATTGTTGACCATCGTACCTGTGAAGACGCACAGCGGCCCGCGCAAAGAGTCGCCGGACAGCTGGACGAAGGCCAGGAACAGGTCGCCGACCAGCAGGCAGCCGACGTGGTTGACTTGGCACTTCCAGTGGAGCACGTGGTAAGTGCTGGGCAGCATGCAGCTGGCCACCAGGGTGACGGCCAAGAAGAACACGGACAGCAGCAGTCCGAGCGGGTACAGGGTGAAGCGGATGTCCTCCCGATAGCTCTTGGTCACGTGGTCGACGCCGTGCCGTGGCGCACAAGTGAACACGGTCCACGTGCGCGGCTCCTGCGTCTGTTCGAGCACGCGCTCCAGACAGTATTCCCGGGGCTGGAGCGTGGCGCCGTCGGCCGTACGCAGCTGTCCGCCCGCGGGCCACGCGCCGTTGACGGGCCAATGCGACTCGTTGATGCGGCCGGACAAGATGTACACGTCGTCTTCGCACCGCGGGAACCCGGAAGTGATGTCTTCGGGCAGATCGGCCGCGTCGTGCCGGCCCGAGAACTCGCATCCCCCGTTGGTTTCGCTGTACTCCGCCGACGGGCCGCAGCACTTTTTCGTCTTGTTCGGCTCGTCGGGCAAGCACAACAGCGCGCCGGCTCGGTCCAGGCAGTACAGACCCGGATCCACCATCAGGTTCTTGGGCCAGTGTTGGGCCAGCAGCGTACCGTTGAGGAACGACACGAACCGGGGTGGGTCTTGGGGCGTCGAGGCGGGCAGGAACGCGGCGGGCCGGCACGGCGGCCGTTCGTGGACCAGGTTCCAGTAAGCCGGCGGCGGCTCGTTGGGATTCAAGAACTGGTTGCTGGTCACGTCGAAGATGACGGGCACGAAGTCTGGCGGCAAGGACGCCGGCAACAGGGCGCACGGCCCGTGCACGTCGGTCGGGTCGAGCATTTCGCCGCGACCGCAACACCGGAACACGGTCACGTTGTCGGAGGACAACACTGCGGCCGCGGACAGTAGTAACAGCAACGGCACCGTTGCGGAGACGTCTCGCGGACGTCCGCGTGTCATTTTCGTGCGGGCGACAACGACGTTGAAAGGCTGTGTAAGTAAGGCGCGCGCGGCGAATGTTCCGTCAGACGACGACGACGACCGACGATGACAAAACGTTCATAATATTACTAGGCAACGACGGCGGATGCAATGGCGTGTTGCAGTTCGTTTGCAATAATTAACAGATAAATTTCGCGGACAACGCACGCCGGCTGTGTGTGTGTAATTATTTACGCGGGTGTCGCGAACTGAACGGCGGGACGGCACAAACGAACGCGGACGACGACGAAACGACACTGGCCGCGTACCACCGGTGCTTTCCATCCGACGGCGACGCTCTCACCTCCCCACCAACAAACAACGAGAACCCGTATCGTGGTCGGCGCGCGCGAGTCTCTGATGCCGCCGCGGGTTCCTCGTTCCGTCTCGTCGTGTCGCTGCGACGCGAAATGTCATCGCCGCCGGACCCCGCTGTATTGTTCGTGCCGCTATTGCAGTCGGTCGCGAGTATTGGTGATTAATATTTACGTGTTTACCTGTTGCATCGCTCCGTGTGTGATAAGAATAGCGCAATAATATCAAACGATAGTAATAGTATGCTATTAGATATTACGCGACTGCTGTACAGTGTACGCCGAAATTGTATATTATATTCTTGTTTACGAAAGATAAAATAATACCATCATCTTATCTACATATTGTTGTTATAAACGCAGATAGGTAGTAGGTACCAGCTGCTTCGTTTTCCCTCTGTGACGAGTTACAGACAGTTGTAGAAGATGTTGGTACTTACTGTTTGTTGTTAATATACTTATACAAATAAAAGACATTTATCGAATTTTTAGAAGGAATGTGTGCGTGTGATAACTGATAAATAATAACAGCTGCAGCCTACTGCCTACACTGCTTATATATTTTATTATTATTATTATTATTATACACTAAAGACAATACTCATAAGCGTGTATATTTTCCATTACTTTTACACAGAAAATTGGTCGATTGAATGAGCGCTCTCGATATTGACAAAAATACATTGTAAATGCACTAGATACGGATTTTTTTTCAATTAATCACTCAAAACGTTGAAACATTGATTTCACATAAGTATGCGCTGCCAGAGGTTCGCAAATAACACGACGCAATTATGATGCTTTTATTAAACTTTATGTTTTATATTTTCGAATAATTCTCAAGTCTTATAGGTCGCAAGCAGCAGTCGAGGCCACTGAGCACAAAAAATGAAAAATAAATTACGTGATAAAAAACGAATAATGGTAATGGTTTGAGCGTTTTACTTCATGTACATCATTTTTTAATTCATCTAAAATATTTTATATTTTGGCACGGGAAATAATATGATGATTCCAGTTCGTTTCTAAATAGATTTATTATCGTCCACATGTTGTTATACTTGTTAGTTTTTATCAATATATCATCATATAATCGTCAACCTTCATAGCTACCACGTTAGAAGTTCAAAGAAAGCAATTTCAAGAGATCTTGAACATTATATACCTACCAATAACTAAAAATTTATAAATACCAATTTGATTTTCATATGTAATAATAACAAACTATTTCGAGCATACAGTTTGAATACTTTCGCACTTATGCGTATCTATATCGACATTTAATAATTAATATTTGAATTAATTATGCTAAATAAATTCTATTGCAATGATCTGCAGTTTATATGCAATAATTAAATTATTATTGAAACACAATATTGTTTATGCAAATTTCATGTTCAGTAATTCATAATTTAATTATTAAACCAATTTTATCAAATTGTATTATTCGATTTCATTCTATACCATAATGCCATTAGAATTAGATTAATCACTTTGTTGGTGTAGTTGAATAATTGTATGCCATTTTAATTGAATTTTATCAATAACAATTTTTTAATATTATTTTAACATTTTATCATTTTTAAATATTAATATTTTTTATCTATGCAGCAATATGGCTCAAACAGATTTTTAAATTCACTAGATTTAATAAATATATACGTTATTATATATTATATGTACATTGTGCACAAATCAAATCAATCGTATAATAATTGTATAAAAGGACAAATAGGTGCTATAATGTTTAATCTAATTGTTAAAATAATTTTTCGAGTTCATATGATAAGTTACTTGAGAATTAATTACATTGTAAATACTTTTTAAACACAAATTAATAGTATAACATGATATAATATATTATATACAATAAGTTGATTTGCCTTTCATATAGGTCGTAGGTATGTATATTGTATGATCGTGCATTGCGTGTATACTGAAATAATTGTAATAGCATCATTACAAATATTTTACTCATACGATTTTCCTAAAATAAAAAAACAAAACTATATTGTCCTAATCATTGTCATTTTTTCAATCAATCGTAATCATTAAATTTGAAAAATATCAGTAAAAATGTCCGAATTATACGACAATATATATAGTCTCATCGACGATTGACCGATTGCAGTAGCTATGCATTAAAATATACCGCTGTGTATGTTTATATATATATTATATATATATAGTATAATTTTTTTTCTCGTATAATACACGTGTGTGTTACTGTGTTTGGCAGAATTTCTATTGGGCACCCGTAGGTTTCTGCCATGCCCGGTATAATAACATTATTATATTCAAACCAAAATTATGCCGATACTCAGCTTCCAGATATTCACTGTATACACAAATAGTGATGGGCCAATCTCAGGTGAGAGGTCTAATAGAATTGTATGCAAGATATATAATATATGTCTTAGCAAAAACGCATAGGCATTTAAGTATCGAACGTCAAGAATAACGCTAAAAAAAAAAAATCATAATCATTTTACAATGACTGTCGTACGTGACGGCAATTAAAGTTTAAACATTAATATAGAAGTATATACGGTATTATTGTTATATTCAATGTAAACGACTTGTATAATACCCACAGCGCGTACTTGGTCGGCTGGAAAAAAAATCGTGACACAAAAATTATAAACTGATTGACATGTTCACGCATAAATACCTATAGGTATTGATACCTACACGTGTATTGATGTATATATATATATATATATATATGTATACAATTATTATACGGTTGCATATTTATGTAAATACTGCAATATAGTCGTATACTCTGCAGTTTGCGTAGTTGACACATTTTCTTTTTGTCCTGATGCACCACAAAATTTAGTATATGTATACACATAATATTTTGTGCAGGTAGTCATTTTACATATTATATTTATTAGGTAACACTGCAGACGGTGTTACACCGTGCAATATTTCTAGTAGAGTTAACTTCCGGAACGTCGGGAAAATTAAGAGTCACCTACTTATGTATTTTATTTTTTTACCAACAAACGTGGGTTGACAATTTGTTCGTCTACACGAGCGATCGTTCACGGATATTAATAATATAAATGTTATTTAAACGGTACATATACGCAAACATGGAATTTGATTTTTAGGGGCTCTAGTCACATGTACATTTTTTATGAATTTAAATAACTCGCATCTAATGAATATAGAATATATATATAGTAGAATGCTGAATTCGTTTTTCTTTTAGTCTCGGGAATGGACATAAATCAACAAATAATTCTAGAAGTTTAATAATTAAAAATTAAAACTAAAAATACATTGTTTAACTGAAAGCTGAGTTGAAAGGCTAATTCACATATTATATTGGAGGGTGATAGACCGTACCTAATGCCACTCACGTGCATAAACACAAACGTAATTCTGAATATACCATATACATATATGCCATACAATATATAGGTATATACGTTTACGTCAAGTACACACAACACAAAGGCAATATTTGTCGTTAAATGTATTCGTGTAAATATACTCAAAATACTTAAACGCTAAAGTGTTTTCTGACTGGTCATTGTCTGCTGCAGGACGCGTGTGTACTGCGCAGCGCCTTTCGAAAATATACTAAAGACAATGATGACTGCAGCAGTAAAACGTTTATTACCGTTGTCGAATGTATTCTTGTACATAAATTACATGATGTTGGACACAGAAAATGACGAATAATGGTTTACAAAGCACAAATGTACAATAGTAATTTATTGTCGATATAAAGATGGTATGCTATGTATGGTATATACACATAATATAATATACATAAGTATATAACTGTATAGAGGGATCGCTTAATCCGGCAATCTCGAGTCTTAGTAAAACCTACTATTTTCTGTTACTTTGGCGGAACACGGCTCACTCGAATCACATTATATGAATATATATCGTTTCGAAATGAGTTAACTTAATGCGTGAACCGGCTAAAATCAAAGGATATTTCATACCTATATATACATGTATATATATATCACATAATATGCAGTTAGGCGTTAATCAAAAGAGCCTGTACATGAAACTCATACAACAGTTAACTGTGAAGTATATACCCATGTGTAGGTATAAGACAATACGATACAACAATTATTGTAGTCTTATCACATTATCAGTTATCACTCACCGTATATTCTTAAATTTAAAAATCTGAAAATCAAAATTCTCGTATTCACTCACATGTATATAATTTATATTTTATGTATTATTATATTATTATACATTGTAATTATTAGAAATTGTAGGCAGCTTTTTGTTATGCATAATAATATGTACTACTCTAGGCTTATGCGATTTCACATTTAAATTTAATTGCGCATAATAAATAAAATTGCCTCAACAGTTGTTTCCAAGAACACTTTCTTTAATGAATGAGTTACAAATTATGGACCATCATGCACCTGCAGTAAAGGTAATAGGTACCAGATACCTGTACCATGTTAATGAATAATGATCATTAATTACAGTGCAGGTGCTGTTTAATATTGTACATTGATAATATTATAATAATTGATATTAAAATTTAACAATAATATATAATATTATAATAATATGATAACAATTATCGTTCTCGTAATTTTCGTTAAAAATAATATGTGAATGAATTGATTTTAATTTTAAATTTAACTCGCGGAAGTACGGTCAACAGTC